GCTCAGGCTGGTTATAGGGATGGGATTGGGGGTGTTGGAGGGATGGGGTCAGGGGCTCAGGCTGGTTATAGGGATGGGATTGGGGGTGTTGGAGGGATGGGGTCAGGGGCTCAGGCTGGTTATAGGGATGGGATTGGGGGTGTTGGAGGGATGGGGTCAGGGGCTCAGGCTGGTTATAGGGATGGGATTGGGGGTGTTGGAGGGATGGGGTCAGGGGCTCAGGCTGGTTATAGGGATGGGATTGGGGGTGTTGGAGGGATGGGGTCAGGGGCTCAGGCTGGTTATAGGGATGGGATTGGGGGTGTTGGAGGGATGGGGTCAGGGGCTCAGGCTGGTTATAGGGATGGGATTGGGGGTGTTGGAGGGATGGGGTCAGGGGCTCAGGCTGGTTATAGGGATGGGATTGGGGGTGTTGGAGGGATGGGGTCAGGGGCTCAGGCTGGTTATAGGGATGGGATTGGGGGTGTTGGAGGGATGGGGTCAGGGGCTCAGGCTGGTTATAGGGATGGGATTGGGGGTGTTGGAGGGATGGGGTCAGGGGCTCAGGCTGGTTATAGGGATGGGATTGGGGGTGTTGGAGGGATGGGGTCAGGGGCTCAGGCTGGTTATAGGGATGGGATTGGGGGTGTTGGAGGGATGGGGTCAGGGGCTCAGGCTGGTTATAGGGATGGGATTGGGGGTGTTGGAGGGATGGGGTCAGGGGCTCAGGCTGGTTATAGGGATGGGATTGGGGGTGTTGGAGGGATGGGGTCAGGGGCTCAGGCTGGTTATAGGGATGGGATTGGGGGTGTTGGAGGGATGGGGTCAGGGGCTCAGGCTGGTTATAGGGATGGGATTGGGGGTGTTGGAGGGATGGGGTCAGGGGCTCAGGCTGGTTATAGGGATGGGATTGGGGGTGTTGGAGGGATGGGGTCAGGGGCTCAGGCTGGTTATAGGGATGGGATTGGGGGTGTTGGAGGGATGGGGTCAGGGGCTCAGGCTGGTTATAGGGATGGGATTGGGGGTGTTGGAGGGATGGGGTCAGGGGCTCAGGCTGGTTATAGGGATGGGATTGGGGGTGTTGGAGGGATGGGGTCAGGGGCTCAGGCTGGTTATAGGGATGGGATTGGGGGTGTTGGAGGGATGGGGTCAGGGGCTCAGGCTGGTTATAGGGATGGGATTGGGGGTGTTGGAGGGATGGGGTCAGGGGCTCAGGCTGGTTATAGGGATGGGATTGGGGGTGTTGGAGGGATGGGGTCAGGGGCTCAGGCTGGTTATAGGGATGGGATTGGGGGTGTTGGAGGGATGGGGTCAGGGGCTCAGGCTGGTTATAGGGATGGGATTGGGGGTGTTGGAGGGATGGGGTCAGGGGCTCAGGCTGGTTATAGGGATGGGATTGGGGGTGTTGGAGGGATGGGGTCAGGGGCTCAGGCTGGTTATAGGGATGGGATTGGGGGTGTTGGAGGGATGGGGTCAGGGGCTCAGGCTGGTTATAGGGATGGGATTGGGGGTGTTGGAGGGATGGGGTCAGGGGCTCAGGCTGGTTATAGGGATGGGATTGGGGGTGTTGGAGGGATGGGGTCAGGGGCTCAGGCTGGTTATAGGGATGGGATTGGGGGTGTTGGAGGGATGGGGTCAGGGGCTCAGGCTGGTTATAGGGATGGGATTGGGGGTGTTGGAGGGATGGGGTCAGGGGCTCAGGCTGGTTATAGGGATGGGATTGGGGGTGTTGGAGGGATGGGGTCAGGGGCTCAGGCTGGTTATAGGGATGGGATTGGGGGTGCCTGCCCGCCAGGGGCCCACTCCTCCCAGGTCCGCCTCCAGCGCCAGGCATCTGTCCCTGCCGGTGCCCCCCAATTTGGGGCATCTCCTCCCGGGCCAGGAAGCAGCCGCCTCCTCCTTGTGCAGGTGGGATCCGGGCCAAGGGGCCTCGGGGTGTCCCCGGGCATCCGTCCGGACACACGATGTCAAAGCCCAGGGCGGTCCAACTCACGCTGGGGGTCCCCCAGGCTGTGGGCCACCCGTCTCTGTGACTCGGGGACCCTCCATCCACCATGCACCCCAGATGCCCTGCTGAGAAGAGCGGGGGGTTGGGCAGAGGGCAGTTGGCAGGACCTGGGGCCCCCAGGGGAACATGCAGGCCAGGGCCTGGGAGGCTGGGCAGTGGGGGTCCCTGGGTGACGGCCCCAGCCCCTGTGTGTGTCTCTCCAGCCCCCCAGGGCCACTTCTCCCGGGAGCTGGCTGACACGGAAGCACGGCTGGGGGAGGCCGCCACGCTCTCCTGTACCCTCAGCCGGGACCTGGGACCGGGCGCCTGGTTTAAGGATGGAGTCCAGGTACTGCCCGCCCCCCCACCCCACCCCCAGCCGGGGGCAGGGCCAGAGGGAGAGCAGAGAGCAGGCCAGGGCCCACGCGTCCTTCTTCGTCTTCTGAATGCACCTGGGAGCTTAGCCCACCACCCAGTGTGTTCACAACACGCAGGATTGTAGACCCACTGTGCGCCCTGCTCTCAGCCGCCCCCAGTGCTGTTTCTGTCCCAACAACGCCTGTTGAACTCGACGTGTCCTTTCTTTTAAAATAGTTTTTAAATTGATTTCAGAGAGGAAGGGAGAGGGAGAGAGAGAGAGAAACATCAACGATGAGAGAGAGTCATGGATCGGCTGCCTCCTGCACGCCCCCTAGTGGGGATCGAGCCTGCAACCCAGGCATGTGCCCTTGATCAGAATCGAACCCGGGACCCTTCAGTCCGCAGGCTGACGCTCTATCCACTGAGCCACACCGGCTAGGGCTCATTGTGTCCTTTAAGGCCACGTACAAAAGCCACTTTGTCCGCCTAACCAGGCAAGACCCCTTGGCCCCGGGACGACCTCTGACTTCTGGGGAGGGAGCCCTGGGGCTTCAGAGCTCGGGCCTCTGGTTTCATCTCTCACGTGGGCTAATGAGGGGACCTACTGCGTGAGGCTGTAGGGACCATTCGGGGAGGTGGCGGCTCACGGGGGCCGTGAGCACGTGGCTGGCCCAGGACCACATTCGATGCTCGCCCGCCCGTCACGGTGGCTCCTGCGATTGCATTGGTGACGGCCCCCGGGGGGGCGGGCCCAGAGGAGCCTGGGGGCGGGAGGA